ACGGGGTTTCACCATGTTGACCAGGATGGTCTCGATCTCTTGACCTCGTGATCCACCCGCCTTGGCCTCCCAAAGTGCTGGGATTACAGGCTTGAGCCACCGCGCCCGGCCGATGCTGTTTTTCTTTACGGCTGCCTCTTCTGGATGCCTTCCCCGAATAATTCCACTAGTCCGCTACATACATTCTGACCTCGCGGGTTTCCAGCATTCATGCATATGGTTTAAAACAGTTCACATCTTTATGACATATTCTTACTTCAGAATCCCTTAAGGATGTATACACATAGTTTATTACTGTTCACGTTTTTATAGTAAACACAAAGCACAAAGCTTTATATGTGTGTGTGTGTGTGTGTGTGTGTGTGTGTGTGTTTTGTTTGTTTTGTTTTCATTTGTTTGTTTTTGGAGATGGAGTCTCGCTCCTTCACCCAGACTGGAGTACAGTGACACGATCTTAATCTCGGCTCACTGCAACCTCCGCCTCCCTGGTTCAAGCCATTCTCCTGCCTCAGCCTCCTGGGCAGCTGGGATTACAGGCACCCGCCACCACACCAGGCTAATTTTTGTATTTTTAGAGACAGGGTTTCACCATGATGACCAGGCTGGTCTCAAACTCCTGACCTCAGGTGATCCGCCAGCCTCAGTCTCCCAAAGTGCTGGGATTACAGGTGTAAGCCATGGCGCCTGTCCGGCAGCACACTGCTTTGAGTTGATGTCTGGTGGCTCTGCAGCCCTTCTCCCCTCTCCAACTGTCATCACTCAGGCCTCCATGGCAGGAACCATTGTTTCTATTTCCTTTTTCACCTCCATGTGCTTGTCTACCACTCTGCACAGAGCAGGCTTAAGTACATTGATGAAAGATGGGTTGAACAAACTATGGTGTGGTCCTCAGGTAGCTGTGGGGCAAGTGTCCCCTCCCCACCACCCCTCCATCCTCCCACTCTAAACCTAAAAGGAAAAGTGCTCTATTTGGGGGTCTCCTAGGAGGGCGTCAAGGAACTCTGTAAGCTAAGCCTGCCTGCATACATGGTTCCTGGCATAAGCTCTACACACTAGTGAACGTGTTCTTGGGTGGATGCTGATGGCAAGATTTCATTTGATCTCGGTGAAGTCAGTTCCACCCTGAACCTCAACAACTTGAGATCACGAGCAGTAAACAGGCAGATACAGATGGAGATCTAGGTAAGTTTGGTAATAACTGGAGACTTAACTTTGGAATGAGCTTTCACATTACATGGGCTTTTACATCACATGGGCTGATGAAGACAGATGATTCAGTCTTCATGCCTGGACCATGGGTTTACTTTTACACGGTCCACAGAGGTTTAGAAGCTCTGGCTGAGGATGAGGAGGCAAAGCCTTCAGAGGAGTCTTTCCTATATGATTGCTCTTGTCCTCATTCAAGGTAGGCTGGTGCTAGAGAGGGATGATCCCTTTACTGTGGGGGACTGGGAGGGGCATGGTGCATTTCGGCAACTCAGCTGTTAGTTCCCAGCAGCTGGTGGGTGCCACAAGAAGTGCAATTAAGCGCCTGACCATCCCCTCCCCCCAGCTCCTCCCCAGCCTAGTTAGTCCCCTGCAAACCCTTTCTTCATGGGCAGAGTGTTCCCTTGCCAGCTGCCTGCTCCTCCAGGTGTTTCCTGTACTCTCTATTTACTGGCTGGGGTGGCTGAGGGCGGGGAGAGGGAGCCTGTTTTGGCTTCCTGTTAGCCAATGGCAGTGGGTGTGGGGAAGGCTGGTGCTCCCGTATCTAGGGGGAGCTAACCACAAGCAGCAGCTGCCTCCAGACACCTGCCTTTCTGAGAGCATGTAAACAGTTAGGGCCCAGGGAGGAAGACGTCCTCCTGAGCAGGGCAGGCACTTCTGTTGGATCAGGCTGGAGGAGGTCATTTCATAAGCTCCCAACCTCCATTCTTTCCAGGGGAAAAGGGTGAGGTCAGGGACTAAAGTGTGGGTCACCCAAAGGACCTCAGGCCATCCTGGACTCTAACCCCTACATGAGAAGCCCTGGTAGTGCTGGCTCCACCTCCATTGTCCACCTGCCATGAAATGGATGGCACTGCCTCCCCAGGCAAAGACCAAGAGTGGACGATGAGATCTTGGCAAAGCCTCCATTTCCTTACCTGAGACCTGAAACAGCTACACAGTCCCCATCTTTACCTGGGCTCCCCAGATCCAGCCAGCTTGGTGCAGAGACACCGTCATGGGTTTCCCCCTGGCCATTCTTTCCAAGAAGGCAGGACAGTATTTTTGGTTCCAGTTTTTTCATTCCAGTTGAAATAATACACTTGTCTATGTATGTTTGATCCTTCCCTTCCTCTCTTCCTTCCGTCCTCCCTCATTCCTCCTCTCCTCTCCCCTCCCCCCTCCCCTCCCCTCCCCTCCTCTCCTCTCCCCTCTACTCTCCCCTCTCCTCCCCTCCCCTTCTCTCCTCTTGACAAGGTATCACTCTGTCACTCAGGCTGGAGTACAGTGGCACGATCTTGGCTCACTGCAGCCTCAACCTCCCTGGTTCAAGTGACTCTCTTGCCTCAGTCCCCTGAGTAGTTGGGACTACAGGCGTGCACCACCACACCCAGCTAATCTTTCTATTCTTTGTAGAGACAGGATTTTACCACGTTGCCCAGGCTAGTCTCAAACTCCTGAGTTCAAGCTATCCACCCGCCTTGGCTTCCCAAAGTGCTGGGATTACAGGCTTGAGCCACCATGCCCGGCCTCCTCAGAGCAATTCTATAGCATTGACATTGTTACCCTTAGACTATAGATGAAGAAACGGAGGCTCAGAAGGTTAAGCAAATCACCTGTGGGCACAGTGCTAGTAACTGGCAGTCAGGTTTGAATCCAAGACTGGCTGAATGAACAAGAAAAGTTACGGCAAACAACCCAGGGTTTCTTCTATTTCTTCTTGTCATGCTTGGTACTCTTGTCTTCTGGATTCCAGGAACTTTTACACAAAGCCACAGTTTATTTTGCAGATAGTTTACAGAAGATAAGCAGTCTGACATCCCAATCTTCCTCATCTCTTATGCCCAAGCTCAGATCATCTTCCTCTGTGAAATCACTGCCATTCATCCTAATGTTAAGCAATGTTTTAAAAACCTGCGGAGCTCTTACAGCAAGAAGCCACTGCTCCCTCCCACTGTATGTCTTCCATGGGTTTCTTTTTTGTGCATATGTCATTTATTTATTAATTTATTTATTTCTCTCTCTCTCTCTCTCTCTACCCTTTCTCTTTCTTTCTTTCCCTCCCTCCCTCCCTCCCTCCCTTCCTTCCTTTCTTTCTTTCTTTTGAGATATAGTCTTGCTCTGTCGCCCAGGCTGGAATGCAGTGGCAAGATCTCGGCTCATTGCAACCTCCACCTTCCACGTTCGAGCGATTCTCCTGCTTCAGCCTCCCAAGTAGCTGGGACTATAATCACCTACCACCATGCCCAGCTAATTTTTTGTATTTTTAGTAGACAGGGTTTCACCTTGTTAGCCAGGATGGTCTCAATCTCCTGACCTTGTGATCTGCCCGCCTCAGCCTCCCAAAGTGCTGGGATTACAGGTGTGAGCCACCGTGCCCGGCCACATATGTCATATTTCATATGTGAAATGAATATAAGGTCCTAGAGATCATCTCTGATGTTGCCCAACATTCACACAGCATCTGCATCTAGCAGTATCTGGGCATGAAGCTGAAGCAAGAGGGACTGAGGAGACCAGCTAGTCTAGATGCTTTAGGGAAACCTCTGTCTTTTACCCTTTGCCTCGCTCCAACTGGAGAAATCCCAGTTTCATACAGACTGGCCAGCCAGATGGTTGCTTCATCCTAATCAGGAATTTTAGCTGCTGACTTCCCAGCCCTGGTACAAAACACAGGAACTCCCTGTGTTCATCGTGACCCACTTCCTTTCTTACTGGAGCCTGCTCAGGGTGGAGGCTTAGGTCTCAGTGGCTTCTCTTGTTTTCACAAAAGGAAAATAATCTCTCTGTCATAATTACTGCTTGACCAATAGGCTTCTCCTGTGACACCTCCCTGGGGGAAAGAAAATGGAGCACTGATTGTTTCCTAGGATGAGATTCAAATATATCCAGGAGGGTGGAACAGGATGTAGGAACACTTGTTGAGATTATGGTGCTATTTGAATGTCAGGGATTGATGAGGATCCATGCTGGCCTTGGAGTCCAGAGGTTGTTATCTGGGTCTAGCATGGGGCCAGCTGCAAATGGCAGCTTGAAGCTCATTTTTTATAGTTTTGAGTTTTCAGCCGCCAGCCTGGCAGGCAAGTGATGACTGTTGGGGCAAGTGCCCTCTTATAGGCAGAGACAGGCCCTTTTGAGAAATATAGGGA